GTGTGTGTGTGTGTGTGTGTGTGTGTGTGTGTGTGTGTGTGTGTGTGTGTACACGCGCGCATGCATGCATAGGGAGAGTAGAAGGATCCTCCTGTCCCTCCTCCGATAGCACCCCCCACTCCCACCCCTCCACCCCCGTCCCATTCTCAGAGCCGGCAGGCTGGCTGCTGCACACCACCCTGCATGCGGTTTACCTCCAGAGTGTTGATGAGGGGCACAGGAGTGACGGGTTCCCGAGTACAGGCCAGGCTGGTGCTGAAGGAGAACTCCACCGACTCGGTGCCAATGATGGTCCAGCAAGAGCTGTCGTTGAGCAGTGCCCTGTTGGCCTCCTTGGGACACAGGGAAGCCTGGCAAGAAGTCCAAAGGAAGGAACTGAAGCTTCGCTAGTGGTCCAGCCTCACCACGTTTCCCTTCTAAGCTTTCTGGCTTATCTGCCCCAGGGAGCTTGGGTGAGCCCCTCACACTGTATGGGATGTATATCCAAACTCATTTTTTTTAAAACAGTATTTTTATTTGTACTGTGTAGTTATATGTGTGTATAGACGTGTGTGTGTGTGTGTGTGTGTGTGTGTGTGTGTGTGTGTGTGTAATCGTATGGAGGTCGGAGGTGGCCATTGCTTGCTCTCTACTTTATTTTTGAGACAGTTTCCCACTGAACTTAAAGTTGGCTCATTTGGCTAGACTGGCTAAGGAAAGCCCCGGGATTCTCCTGCCTCTGCCTCCCAGGTGTTGGGGTTACAGGTGTGAGCCATCATGCTCAATTTTTAAAATAGATGTGAGCTCTAGGGTATTGAATTCAGGTGCCAGAGTTGGCACAGCAGGTACTTTACCAACTGCCTATTTCCCCATCCCCAAGAGTTTAACATTCCATCACTTAGTAAATTAAAATCTTTGAACCAGCTTAGTTTCTAATAAACTAGTTTTCTTTTCTTTCTTCCTTCTTTCCTTTCTTTTCTTTTCTTTCCTTTTCTTTTTTTTTCTTTGAGACAGGATTTCTCTGTGTAGCCCTGGCTGTCCTGGAACTCACTTTGTAGACCAGGCAGGCCTTGAACCCAGAGATCTGTCTGCTTCTGCCTCCTGAGTCCTGGAATTAAAGGCATGCATCACCTGGCTATAATTATTGTTTTCTATATTTTATGATTCTATCTACTAACATTCCAGAGCAATATTTTTGGGGAGAAATATTACTTAATAATTATTGTTTTCCACACTGTATGATTTTGTGCCTTGACATCCTATAACTTTGTTCAGTGATAATACTATTTCCTACTATGATTTTATTTATATTCTGCAATATTTTTCTTTTTATTTATGTATATGTGAATGTGTGCCATATGTGTGTGTGACCTTCAGAGGTCAGAAAAAGGTGTCAGATCCCCTAGAGCTGGAGTTACAGGTGGTGGTTAAGTTTATGGCCTACCATGTGGGTGCTGGGATTTGAACCTGGATCCTCTGGTAGTTCTAAGTAGTTCTCTTCACTACTGAGCTGTCTCTCCAGTTCATATATTCTGCAATTTCATATCCCAACATCTAAAAGCCCTTGGGAAGGAGTATTACTTACTAATAGTAATTACATTGATTTTTTTTTCTTCCTTCTATGACTCTAATCTACCATGGGCGGCACTATTACTTAAGAAGCAGCAGCCCTTGTAGACAAGCTCTTCTATCCCACGGCCCCCTATACTCTTCCTAGTATGCTCGGGAGCTTCCACCTCTCACCTGGAATCGCACCACCTTCTCTGTGGCAAGGCATAAGTAGGTGCCACCCCCTCCTGGAGTATCACCTGGAAACTGGAATGCGCACTTGTGCAGCTGGGATATGGGTTCGTCCACGTCAAGGAGGGCACACTGCTTGGCTACTTTGCGGATGATCTGCAGCAGAAGGGTGTCAGGAAGAGGGGTGGCAAGGTGCAGGGGGGCCCCAGAGGCTGGCCGCTCTCCCAGCCAGGCAGTTCTACTCTGATGGCCATGAGGTCACAGGCACACTCCCATTAACCACTAAGAGAGAGTAGGTGTCTTTAGGCCTGCAGGCTTCACCCTCCAGCCCTGCCCACAGTGGCCACACTTCCGTACTGATCTGTGGTTACCCCTGTGGATACAAAGTCCCTTTTCATACCATAGGAGGCAGTGTGACACCCGTGACTGTACAGACAAGCTGCACCAGGGAGCCATAGCGGATGTAACCTTCTTGAGGTGGGAAGTCCCCTTGGGAACAGCGCTCATCAGCTGGAAATGAAAGAAAAGGCAAAGGCTTCAGAACTTCTGCCCCAAACCCTGCTTCTTCACCTCTGGCTTTACATCACACCACTGCTGGCCATGATGGAAGAAGCGAAGACTAATATTCTAGTCCCGGATATGTAATCTGTGGTCATCTCCACAAAGGTGTGCTCTCTGGGCCACCTAAAGGGCATTAGCCACTGGGATCAGAATAGCCGGGCTAGTCATTGAGCCACCGAGGCCAGGGGCAAGCCCCAGCCCTCCTCCCCAAGGCTCAGTCACACTTGCTCACCTTCCTGAAGTGTTGATAACTATGCGAACACACATGGAGCCCCCAGCCCGCACCTGCTCACGTGATTACCCAGGTGGAGTGTGAAGGCAGCCCACTGTCTTGCGCTGGCCACAAAGGCCCCATCTTCCACAGAGAGGTAGCGTGTGGACACCGTCTGGGAGCGCAGGCGGTTGAAAAGGGAGACCTTTGAGCCCGAGGAGATGCACACTGTGAGGGGAGTGGAATCAGTGCCCTGGCCTCATGTGGTCCCTCGGTCTGCCCTGATGATCTCCTGTCCTTTGAGACACCCTGGCTAATATGCCCACTGGCCTAGACACGATGGGTATCTGCATTTTGCAGCCATTTAGCTAGGGTCTGCTCCGTTTGGTTTCTGACCTTGCCAGCTCCCTGGTGCGACTGAGTTCATCAAGTCACTCAGGACCTGCTTTGGGGTAGGTACTGTGCTGGGTGCTGATGGTGTGAACTGGTTCCAGCTCTGCTCTGTATGAGTTCATGGTCTGGAGGATATACACACCAAATGCTAACACCATGTGGTAAAGGCTGAGTTAAGGAGGCTTTTTGGGGTGGGGAAGGGTGAAGCAGGTAGGAGCTGCGTAGCCGGCTGGCTGCTAAGCAAAGACCACGTGGTGTGAAAGCAGAGGAACTTTCCTAGAGCTCAGCATGACTTCCAGCCTATGGCAGGTGCTCAGAGACCCAGCTTTATAGACCAGTTGGGGATAAGGCTCTGGGCAGAATGCCTTCCTCTTTGCTCTTAATGCTGGATGGACTGTTGGCATGCCATTTGTACCTAGTCCAGGCCCCTTCCATTGAACTTATTATACAATAGGTCCTTCCTTCCTTCCTTCCTTCCTTCCTTCCTTCCTTCCTTCCTTCCTTCCTTCCTTCCTTCCTTCTTTCTCCCTCCCTCCTTCCTCCCTCCTTTCTTCCTTACTTCTCTTTTTCTGTATGTGTGTGCATGAGCGTGAGTGTGTGCATGCGTGAGGTTTACCCTAGGTACCATCTTCTATTAATCTTCACCTTACTTTCTGAGACACAGGCTCTCACTGGATTGTGAGCTCACCATTTTTCTAGAACTTCCTGGCCAGAGAGCTGGAGGAGGATCTGCCTGACCCTCTTTGCTCAGTGCTGGGGTCACTGGCGCCTGCAGCCACATACATTCAGCTTTTATGGGGCCCCAAACTCAGATTCTGGTGCCATCTCCCTGTCCTTTACTTTTCTAAATATATGTATCCACTCGGTTGATTCTCCTATTGCCGGCTAAGGGATCAGCCTGCCAGAGACCACACAGCTAGCAAACTTCAGGACCAGGTTCAAACCCAGACCGCCAGATTCTGCACTCTTAGCCATCACACTATGTCACCATGCCAATCACTTTTCCTGAATACCAAGGGCCAACCAGAACACTGCTTGGATCTGGGACACAACTTCCTTAAGGTGATTTTTAATCGGCCCGGGTTTGGCACCTGGCTACAGCTTTTATCTGTTCTGAGCCCGGCACTGCCATCCTCAAATCTGATTATCTGGTCTCTTTCCTGTATCCCGCGGGGAATCTCCGTATGTGGGTGACTTTTTTCTTGGTTTTGGCCAGCCACTCACCCGGACTCCTCCCTTCTTTCTACTCAGACTCCACCTCTCACCCTGACTCCACCCCTGCACCCTCTTCCCTCTTATACAGCTCTGGATTTGAATTGCACCCTCCCACTCCACCCCGTCTCACGGTCTGTGTTTTTCAGCGACTGCTTCTTCTGTGAGGGCTTGGAGATCACCTTGATGAGGCGACTGTGAAAGGTGCCCAGCTCCCGGCCTCCTCGCAGCACAAGACGCAGCACTAGCCGGAAGTGCTTCCTCTTGTCGGCGTCGGAGATGTACAGGGTCTTGGCACAACCAAATTCCTACGGGACTCATGGGGATGGGACCCGTTTTATCTCAACTCTCTGCCAGCGGATGCGCCAACCTTCCGCAGCTATGACATCCATCCCATGAGAGATGACAAGAAGCCGTACTAGCTAGGCTCTGGATCAGAACCCACTCTCTGGCCTCCCCGCTAGTCTCTTGGCTTCTGGAGAGGGCTTGGGGAGTCCTTTGCAAAGAAGAGGCAGGGCTGGGGGCAGGAATTGGATGCTCTTTCATGCAGTCTCACCCTTGAGTCCGGCTGCTCTTCGAAATTCAGCTTCTGCGTCTCGGGAGTGCTGCCGGACGCTCCGTCCAGTCCCATGTAACCGCAGACGGTGGGCCCGGTCTCCACAGATTGGTGGGCTAGAAAAGGACGGGAAGTAACCCTGGAGGGATTGGGGAGACTCAGGTGCCAGTCAAACTTAGTTCTTGCCGCCAGAGGGAGCAACGAGATTGCGCCTGCAGCTGCTGAATTAGTTTGTCCTTCCTGCAGAGAACAGTCCCTGAGCGCGCTCTCACCTTGGTCTTGCACTGGTTTCACCCTCCAGCCAGGACCGGCGAGGTAGACACAGGGCGGAGGGCAGAAGAACCTGGGAACACGCAGAGAGCTGGATACATCATTTTCACTGTCTTGAAAGTGTCTCAAAGAGACACAAACCCAAAGAATCACAGTTCCCTCTCCTCTCCAAATTGAGTGAATCCCATTAACACAGAACAGTCTTTTGCTTATTAAACCCATCAGTAAGTCCTGCCCACTCCATCTTCAAAACACATCTGGAATCCATTGGCTTCCTCCACCTCCACCTTGGTCCTAGCCGCTACCTCTTGCCTTCCCCACTCTCGGCCTTCCAACTGTCCCTCCCTTGTGACTGCCTCTCTTGGGACTTGTTTTTCACGCAGCAATCAGATGACTTCCTAAATAACAGCTGGCTCGGCAGGT